ACCTCATATGGATCCCCAAGCTCTGTTCAAATTCAGATGTTTTTGTCTGAAATGATAAAAAAAAATTAACCTGGAATTTTAACTCTAACTAGAGTATTGTCAGATTGTTATACTGTGTTTCCTCTCCTGTGATTCTGAAATTATATTGAGAAATATAGCTCCATATGAAATAACTAGTATGTTCTGTCACTCCTTAGATTATGCACAAAATTAATCAGACTAAAACTTTATATATAAAATTTTAAAAAAAACATTTCAGTGGCTTTTTTGGGTGATGGCTAGAAGCTAATCTATGGTCTCAAATATGTGAGCTGTGCACCCTATAAGTGAGACATTTTCACTAAGCCCAGTGAATTTTTTTAATGAAAATAAGTTTCCATGTAGACTCCAAGCCCCTAGCTATGAGGAGTATGCATTTAAATAATTTGTCTTCCGTTCTTATCATTTATTCTTTTTAATGGAAAATTTAATAAGAGAATTCCTTTACAAAATGCTAGGCTAATACATTTTCAGTGTTAGTTTAAAAGACACCATTTTCTTATATTTTCTTCTTTGACATCAGTGCAAAATATATTCACTCATAAATCAGATAGCCCAGTTTAAGTCTATTATAACAGCTCTAAAACTATTCTTAAGGGAGTAGTGAATCCAGATTACAAACACTCACTTTCACACCACTGAGTGAATTGATTTATTTTAAAATGCACTTTATTCTATGAATGCTCAATAACCTATGACATGAATAACTTCAATAAAAAATTGAATCGAGTCACTTTGCTGTGCATAAAGAATGTTTGATATATTTTGTAAATTTGATGCTTTTACCTCTCAGTAAGTAATGGGGAAAAAAACGCTCTTTAAACCATGAGATATATATTCTCATTTATAAAGTTTTCAAGTTCTTATGAAGAAATATTTTTGCCTTCTCCAGTAATATTAAAATCTGGATATAATATCACTTTTCAAAATAGTGTTTAAATTTATATGAAAATTGTAACAGTAGTCATATATTTTTGATTATGCATTGAACAATATAAATAAGTTCCCAGAAATATTTATTTTAAAATGGGTTAAGTATATTCTGACATTTCTAAGAAATCACCACAGACTGGGTTGTTTAAAAACAACAGAAATACTTGTTTTCCAGAGTCACCAAATTTTAGCTAAGGAATCTTTTCCCCTCAAGGATTTGTTAGAGTACCTTAGTTTCTCTTATAATGTTGTTACTGAGAGAACTATAACAAAACTATGAGTCATTCATGATAATTTATCTATTTTATATAGTCCCCATAATGTTTTTCACCCTTTTATTGACTTTCATATAATATTTTGAGTCATAATGCAAATTAATATTTATTGAGTATTTACTGAGACCAGCACTATATCATGCACATTCCATGCATTATCTCTAAGATCGACTCAGAAAAAACACTCTGAGTAAAGTAATGATATAATTAGTATGTCTCAGACAGAGAAAGGAGGATCATCTTAGAGAGTTTAAATTACATAGGGAGAAATAGAAAGAACTAGAGTTTAAACCGGGTAAATCAGAAGGCAGCACATTTGCTTGCAACAATTCCATCACTCCATTACCAAGTTCAGGGAAAGATTCTATCATAAAAGCATTTTTGTGTCTTCCGACAACTAAATTCTTTCCATTAAATCATGAGGTCATTCCCAGAGAATAGTAGAATTACAGCCATATAATGAAATAATAGCATGAAAGTGTATTTATACGTGGACCTTCCTTATAAAAACCATAGACACATACACACTTAGAAACACACACCACACACACACAGAGCACTGAGAGTAGAATAACTAATGTTTCTTACCAAAGAGTTTATATTGTAGTTAGTGATTCTTAGCAATATTATATACAGAAATTCATGGTTGACAAAATTTTTAATGCATATACTGTATAAATTTATAGAGTCCCTATGAAGCAGATGATGGGTATTATTCTACTTTTATATAGTGGTTGAGCAGTTTTGTTGAAAGGACACAATTAAGTATATAGTTTTACATATTATGTAAATCATTTAAAATTGTGTATCTTGATATATAAAATACTTTATCATGCCACATTCTAGGAAATAAAGGAAGGTATGCAAACATAGAAAAAATAATATAAAACCCACTAAATGTTCTGTTTTTTTTTTTCAATTTAAAAGGTATGACAGCGTGGTGCTAGTTGATACAGGGAGTGACCACTGGATACTACCAGGGGACAGCATTGAGTTCAGAGTCTGTACATACCAGTCATGTACTCCAACGCTTTGAGCTGTCACCCTGTGCCTATTAAAATTTCTGAAAATGAATCTGCAGATCAATAGTTAAAATAAACTCTATAAGAAATTGTTTCTGATTGTACAGAATTATTGACAAACAAGCCTTGTGATTCCTATTGATGTTATGCGTAAGTCATGATATTTCATTCCTTCCGGAACATAAAAAAATGAAGAACAGGGTATGCTGTACTATTTAGTATATATATATGTACACATATGTATATACATATTAGCACTGCACTGTACTCCCGTTGTTTATCGATTTGCTCAAGCGGGCATCAGTAACGTCTCCATTGTGAGACTTTTTGTCACTGTTTTGGCATATCAAATACATCACGGGTAGCTTGCCAGGCTTTACCATGCAGGCAGGACACTCTCGGTAGCTTGCCTGACTCTCCAAAAGGGGAAGAGGAATCGAACCTGGGTAGGCTGTGTGCAAGGCAAACTCCCTACCCGCTGTGCTATCACTCCAGTTCATGTATATACATATATATACATACATGCATATATACATATATTTATATACAGAATCAGAAGTAAGCCTTAGAACCACTAGGAAAGACCCAGCCCCTTCTCTCCCAGTATTTATTAACTCATGTTTTATGGCTTTAATTGTAAGTAGCATTTTATGAATATAAATATTTTGAGCACTTAATCTGACAAGATGACTATTTCCAGACTTTATTTGGTAAAGTGTTGCTCATAGACATTTATCATGTAAAAGATTATATCAGATAATGTTGAGACTGAATTAAACATCTCTGTATGCAAATTCCTATAAATGTCATAACATTTTTAAACTTTTCCTCAGAGTACATAAATCTAAACAGAAACTGAAATTTTTTATTAATGGTAGATGTAAGCATTTATATGTAAGATTAAGATTAATGTAAGATTAAGCATTTATACATTTTGTTTTCACAGATTTTCAGTATACTATCAAGTAGGTAAAACCAGGATAAGTTAAGATTTATAAAGATACACATTATTGCAAAGCAACAGTATTAAAATTCTTAATATTTTCTATTTAAATTCTTAAAGATAAAAGTTTTCTAAACTTTCTCATAAATATTCTCTTATCAAAAATATAAAAATTAATTTTAGATCACTCATATATTACTGTTTTGGAAAATATGTCATTTTTTTAAAAACTTAACTATGAGAAAATTTCATAGCTTAAACGAGGAACTATATGTAAGACACTGACTGAGCTACCATAATTTATATTCACTTTTAAAGGATTTTATTGGATATACCTCCTGACCTAACTTAAATTGGTAATTTAAATTCCATTACTTTGAAAGCCAGCAACATGTGCATGCCATAGGTGAAGCTTAACTTCCATCCATAGAAGGGAAATACAATTAACAGATTCATGAATGCTGCTTCCATGTACAGTGAAATTACAGAAGCTATTTATTTGCATGTGCATGCTTTTAGAAGAGTTTCTGCTTTGATCACTGTTGTACTTCATATGACTTTCTGCTATGAAAAGCAACAATTTTAAAACAGGAAGCTTACATTTATCAAGGGTCTAAAATCAAAGGAGAGCTTCTTATTGTAAAATCAAATTTAGTAGTAAGAGGAAATCAAAATAGACTTTCTGAGTTTGTTCATTGTTCTTCCCACCTATGGAAAATAGCTTGGTTTGGATTTTATTTGGAATTTTAAAATACACATAAAATATTAATATGTACAGTATATTTTACTTATAATACTAAGGTCAGTTCCTGAACTATTTTAAATATATTTATCAGAAAACATTTAAATACATCACTAGTGAATAATTAATGCATGAATTAAAATGTGTCTTTTTATGAATCATATAAGGGACTAAAAATTACATTTTATGAAGTTTATTCCAATGCCATCTTTAGAAAAAGAAATACATCTTTAAAACTATTAATTCTAAAAATATTTTCTATAGGATCCAGAGAGGTAATACAGCAGGTAAGTCACTTGCCTTGTATGTGGCTGGCCTAGCCTTTCACCCCATGTGGTCCTCTGGGCACCTCCAGGAGTTATCCCTGAGCAAAAAGCCAAGAGAAAACCCTAAGCACCTCTGGGTGTGACCCAAACCCCACAAAAAAATATATATAAACATATGTATATTTAGTTAAATTTCATGTGAAATATTTGTAGTTGATTTGAGAAAGTCCATCTCTTTATTTGAAGAACGTTATAAAATACTTAGTTTTGTTGTTTGAAATTGCAAACCACTCTATCCTGATAATCATGATAATTCTCATGTATAAAAATTAAATCCTTTCATAAAAACTTTTTTGAAGTATGTTAACTAAGTTCCAGAAGCATAAAGGTAAAGGTAAAGTCCCTACCATTGATCGTCGATTTACTCGAGCGGGCCCAATAACGTCTCCATTGGAGACTTTGTTGTTACTGTGTTTGGCATATGGAATACTCTCGGTAGCTTGCCGAGCTCTCCGAGAGGGGCAGAGGAATCGAACTCCGGTCGGCCATGTTGGCCACATGTAAGGTGAATGCCCTACCACTGTGCTATCGCTCCAGCCTTTTCAGATATGTTTAGAACAGAAAATAAGTGTCTATGAGTATGATTTTGCTTTTTCTCTGAAAGCTGCCGTGACTATGTATGTATACTATACACAAAGGAATTTACAAACAAATATTAACTCAGCTGTAGGGCACAATTATTCCTAAAATATCTAACATCATTATTCTTTTCCTTTAAAGTCTCAAATATCCATCAGTGTGGAAGAATGGGAAGACACCAAAGATTCCAAAGAACAAGGTCACCATCGAAGTAACCACCGTAACTCAACATCCAGTGATCAGTCAGACCATCCCTTGCTGCGGAGAAAGAGCATGCAGTGGGCACGCAGATTGAGCAGGAAAGGTCCCAAACACTCTGGAAAAGCAGCAGAGAAAATTACCCAGCAGCGACTGAACCTCTACAGGAGATCAGAGAGACAAGAGCTTGCTGAACTTGTGAAAAACAGAATGAAACACTTGGGCCTTTCTACAGGGGGATATGGTATGCTCTTTTGATGTATTGTAGGTGATAGACTTATGAATCCTTGCTCTTTGTAGTGGCTCTAATTTCTTTTAGCTATTTGAATGAAAAAGTGATAGATATCTAATCTCATAAAAAATAGTAATGATAAATAATAAGAAAAAGTGCAAAACATTTAAAACATTTGCTTAGTTTTCTAGATACTACACTTATTACATAAAGTGTAATATATACTTTTAAATTGTTCAAAGAATGTGTTAAATCTAAGGTACTTGGGAAAATCATAGGTTTAATATAAGCATTCTGAAATTTTTATTCTTAATCTTTTAATAACTTTGTATTTGCAGTGTTTAATTATACAACAGATACACATGAGTCTTTTTATTTCAATTCAACAAACTAGTCAAATATATGAAAAAATTATATATATCCATATTTATTTTAAAAGATTATTCTTCTTGGAGCTGGAGAGATAGTATAGTGTGTAGGCATTTGCCTTGCACGCGGCTGGCAAGGGTTCAATTCCCAGCATCCCATATGGTCCCCTGAGCACCACCAGGAATGATTCCTGCGTGCAGAGCCAGAAGTGACCCCTGAGCATCGCCAGGTGAAACTCAAAAAGAAAAAAAAAGTTTATTTTTCTTGTTTGAAAATGTCCTTAATAAATCTGAACAGGCCAAAACAAACCCCTTAAATAAAAATCACATGTGTATAATTGGACTCAATTTTGTAAAACAGTGTGAACAAATTCTGTTTCCTTGCTATTATGACATATTTACATAAAACTTTAAGCAAAAGTGAAAATTTGGTTTAGATAATTGTAAATGCCAATTACATAGCAGTAAGAGTTTCTTGGTACATACAGTTAGCAGTTGTTTAATTTGTCTCAGAAATTTTTTGAAGATTTTTAATATACTACATTGTGTTCAAGTTTATACTATAAGAATAGTTTCATTTAAATAACTATGTCAGTGATAATCATTTCAATTTTGTCTTATATGATCTTTTTATTTTGCTAAGTCAGAAATTATTATAAGGCTGAGTAATTTTAATAAATCACGAAATTACTATCATCTGATGAAAAAGATTGTGAATATTATCACAACAGATTCCCTAGCAGATAGTCTTGTTGGGTCAGATATTGATTCTGCTCATGAATAAGTTTTTCCAAAGCAAATTAATTTTATTCCCTAAATATATTAGTTGGTTGTATTTAATCCTTTGATACCTTTGGAACCACAAATGATGTGCCTAAGATAGACTTAACAATTCAGAATTTTTTCATCCAAAATTCAGAAATAGCTAATAACAAATGGAAAAATGCTCAATGACTAGTAGAGACAAAAATACCATACTCTTACTCTAAAATTAGATTGTTGGATGTGTTTTTTTTAATATATGGTACCAATGGGCTTTAAAACTGTTTCCAAATTTTTAAATGTGATGTTCCTGAAAAAGAATGAACCACAGAGCTACTCAGTAGAGCATCTTGACAAATAACAATCAGACCAGACAAAATGCAACAGCAAGACAGAAATAAAAGAGAAAGTGAGTCTTAAACTCCACCATATTTTGACCTAATTGGAGAGATAAATCACTCTTTCCTGAAAGTTAGCGAGGTCTGAGTGAGAAGATGCCAGGATTCTTGAGCTCTGCCTTCAGAGTTACCCCCGACTTCATATAAACCAGATGGGATCATTGATTCACACCTATTTGCTTGCTCCATTTTTGGACTCCATGGAAAATTAAAATAGTTATAATGGTAAATTACAAAAAACGGGCTACTTGAGCGAGAAAAAAAAGTTGATAAGTTAGTTATATCTACTTGCATGAAAGTCTGAGTTGTCTAAATATTTTTCACCTTCATAACCAATTGTTTCACCAGTGCATTTTCACAGAACCCAAAACTACTACCACATCACAGAAACAAGTAGAAAGATTAGATATCAACACTCGCCATAAGGTTGCTTATTAAGTGCTTTGCCCTTTAATGACATCACCAAAGATTGCTGTTATATAAGAAACTTTGGTATAGAAGTGTTTGCCCAAGAGACTGAGTTATACAAAGTCAAATGAAATTGCAGTTTTTCTAGCGGTCTTGCAGCTTGCTATTATTATTAATTCAGTTTGTAGGATGCCTTCGCTATCTTTGCTCCTTAGTATAGCAGTTGTGTACATTCATACAGGGGGAATATTTTCAGAGTATTCATAAAAATCAATATGGCTTCTTATATATAAAGTTGATTCTGGTACTCTCTTGTCAGTACAATGTCTTTTGAATTGAAGTAGTACATATCTTTGGAGTAAAGCTCATTATCTTTCAAATACCAAGCTTCAGTCAGTAGGATTGGACATCTGTCCCTGTTATGAGCATTAGATGAAGCAAATAAAATATGATTCCCGCTTAAATTGAAATTTCATATAAATAGTAAATGCATTTTAGCTTAATGCTGTCACATGATATTTGGAATTTATAGGTGCTATAGCACAGTGATAGCACAGCGGGTAGGGCATTTGCTTTGCACACGATCGACCCAGGTTCAATTCCTCTGTCCCTCTTGAAGAGCCCAGCAAGCTACCGAGAGTATCCCGCCCACTCAGCAGAGCATGGCAAGCTCCCTGTGGCATATTCGATATGCCAAAAACAGTAAAAACAAGTCTCACAATGGAGACGTTACTGGTGCCCACTCAAAGCAAATCAGTGAACAACAGGAGGACAGTGCTACAGGTCAGTGCTATAGGATAGGTGCTAAAAGTTGTTAGTTTTTCATCTAATATACATATTTCACTGCACTGTTCTTTGCCTTCCACACTTAATCCTCTAACAATATATTTCCTGTGTCTACCCTAGAGATATGAATACAAATATGTTACTCATAACTACTAATTAGTTGGTCTTATGGTTAGAGTAGGGCTACTAGTAAACTTATGTTGAGTTCATCCACCGTATCAGATTTGTACAACTAAAAAAGTATTATGTTTCATATCTAAAAGATGGGTTTCTCATTTGATGAATAAAGAATTTTATGAAAATACTAAATATACATATTATTCACTGCATGAAATTATCACCACCTATTCTGTTTTTATTTTAAATAAATTCAATTTTTGCAGTTAGAGTATTATGTCTTTATTGGTATAAAATCTACTCTTAGGTTTTAATCAAATTGAAAACTTTAGTATGTCTTTCAAGAACCACATTTGTCAACAACTAAAATGACTAGAAGGATACTTTGATTCCAGAGAGAAAGATTTTGGTTTGGTTTAGTTTGGTTTTTATGTCTTAGCAGTGCTCAGGGGCTATTCCCAGTGTGGTCTCAGGGTTCATTCCCAGTGCTGCACAGGGGACCATACATTGCCAAGGACAGAATGCAGGCCTGCTACATGCAAGACATGTACACTCACCTTTTGAAATTGTCCCCAGCCCTAAAATAGAATTTTAAAGAATAACCTCCCAGCCTAAAATCTGTATCCTTAAAGGATGCTGCTAGTTGAAATATGTGTTCATATGGTTTGTTATGTTGTTTTTTTTTAATCAGAATCTCAGAATATACCTCACAGCTGGAAAATCGAAGTTCCAAAGTACTGTTTTTTCTACTTCTTCAGTGTCCCATCTCATGCTAAGTCAGCTGTATACATTTGAACTGGAGGACATTTTAGAGTGAACAGAAAAAAACTTAAAGGCTCAGCCTTTCATTTTGAAAATGTTGTTTAAGGGACAGATTTTAGTTGTTGAACACTTATGTTGTGTATTGAGTGGGGCGACGGGGATGGCTAGGTTTGATCCCTGGAATCTCCTGTTTTCCCACATCATGAAATGGTCCCTGGAGTGGTACCCATGACTAACAAAAGAGAACAATATTGGTCTTAGAGGAAAATCAAGTGGTTTGATAGTTCACCAGACTTTGAAACTTATGGTTATTTTCCACCACCATATCCCTTGCATTCTGCAGAAATATTATAAAATTTTATATTAGTTTTATCATTTAATAAAGTCAAAATATCTATGGTCTTGAAACTGTTTAGACATGCTTCTGCAGTGTTTTCTAAAGGCACAGTCATAAATGTCTTCAGAGAATAACCCATTAAAATATTTCTTCTTGGAACTTTCTCAAAGAAGAAATCCGAATGGCAAAAAAGCACATGAGAAAATGCTCTACATCATTAATCATCAGGGAGATGCAGATCAAAACCACAATGAGATACCATCTCACACCTCAGAGACTGGCCCAAATTCAAAAGAACAAAAGCAACCGATGCTGGCGTGGATGTGGCGAGAAAGGGACACTCCTTCACTGTTGGTGGGAATGTCCACTGGTTCAGCCCTTCTGGAAAACAGTATGGACGATTCTCAAAAAATTAGAAATTGAGCTCCCATTTGACCCAGCAATACCACTCCTGGGAATATATCCCAGAGAGGCAAAAATCTATAGTCGAAGTGACATCTGCACTTGTTTGTTCATTGCAGCCCTCTTTACAATAGCCAGAAACTGGAAGAAACCTGAATGCCCAAGAACAGATGACTGGTTAAAGAAACTTTGGTACATCTACACAATGGAGTACTATGTAGCTCTTAGAAAAGATGAAGTCATGAAATTTACATACAAGTGGTACAATATGGAAAGTATCATGCTAAGCGAAATGAGTCAGAAAGAGAGGGATAGACATAGAAAGATTGCATTCATCTGGGGGATATAAAGTAACAAAGTATGAGATTAATACCCAAGAATAGCTGAGATCAGCACCAGGAGGATTACTCCATAACTTAGAGGCCAGCCGGGTATCCTAGAGGAAAGGGCTATTCAGATAGAGAAGGGAGCACCAAATAAAGGATGTTTGGAGGATCCTCCCAGGAGGGGAGATGCATGTCGAAAGTAGACTATGGACTGAACATGTTTGCCACTCAATGCCTCTTTTGCAGACCACAACACCCAAAAGGAGAGAGAGAACACAGGGGATTGCCCTGCCACAGAGACGGGGGGATGGGGGGATGGGGGTGGGAGGGATATTATCCATGGTGGTGGAAAATGGGCACTGGTGGAGGGATGGGTATCTGATCATTGTATAATTGAAACCAAAGCACAAAAAATTGTAAATCTACAACTTTAAAAAAAATAAAATAAAATAAAGGGGGAAAAAAAAATATTTCTTCTTGGATAATTTCTATAACCACAATTATATTTCATAATTGATAAAAGTCGGCAAATAAACACTAACAATTTTAAAATATGAATGATTTTCAGTGTCATATCTTATAGAGAAAATTACAACTTTGGCTTTTTAAAAAAATACTTTATGTTTTTATAATTTATTGCACAAAATAAATACTTGTCAGATTTATTTGTAATAATAATAATCCGAAAATGGTCAAACATTTACACACTCATACTTTTGGCAAAAATATTTTAAATTTTTCAACTATGTGACTTGAGCCTAAGACGTACTACATGAATTCCTGTAATACTCTACAATTATGTCAACAAACTTGGCATTTCTTTATCTTCTAGATGAAATGAATGACCATCAAAGTACCCTCTCTTACATACTGATTAACCCGTCTCCAGATACCAGACTAGAGCTGAATGATGTAGTGTAAGTTGATCTCTACATTTTGCAAAACATTTATTCTTAGAAGCCAACAGATTATTTACTTTACTATTTTTGTGTTTGCCATTTTAGTCTCATATTTTAATTGTAGAAAAATATTTGAAAATGTAAGGATATTTGTATTCAGAAAGCAAAAGCATTTTGTCTTATTGAGTGTAATGCCATTTAAAATCACTGTAATAGTGTAGTACAGTAAAGGAAGGAAGAGAGCTTGAATCCTGTATTGTATAAGTTACAATATTTTTATTAAAGGAGAAAATACTTGTAAAAGATTGATTGAAAGAATACTAGAAATATCCCATAAGATATATTTCTAAATTATTTAGAGCTCCTAAACACTAAAATAAAATAGGTAGAAATACTTGATCAGGAGAGTCCTATGGCTAAAATTTTATTCATAGAATTCTATGTATTAAACATGTACACTTATTACAGTTGACTTAACATACCGATTCCAAAGCTGAAATCTATGTTTCACACCATCTGGTAGTTTCATTAATAATGCTCTACTTTTTTGGATGTGCCAAACTAAAGAGTAACTTGACATTTTTGCAAAAATAACCATTTTTATCAGTACAGTCTGTTTGTACTGTACTATTATACTTGATTCTGGAAGGATCTTACATGACAAAAAAAACTTAAAACGTAATCTTATAGACAATATGAAACACATGTAAACAAGAGTAGCAAGAATTTAGAAAAGGCATTTTTAACAGTTGTTGGAATAGAAGAATAATTCCAAATTGAAATCTGTCCTTGAAGCATATGACCCTGAGGCTGAACTAGATCGAGTCACTCATCCAAGGGAGTAAATTTCAAATGGCTTTAATAACATAAGATGAATGCCAAACATCCAAACATCTTAGTAGAGCTTAGGTCTATAAAGCATCCAAAAGACTTTGGCTTAAGTCTACAAAACATATTTCTACCTAGTATGTAATGTCAAAGATTTTTTTTTCTTTTTGGGTCACACCTGGTGATGTTCAGGGGTTAGTTCTGACTCTGCACTCAGGAATCACTCCTGGTGCTCAGAGGTATATGGGATCCCAGGACTGAACCTGGGTCAGCCATCTGCCAGGCAAACACCCTTCTGACTGTGCTATTGTTCAGGCTCCAGGTTCAGAGATTTAGAAGAGAACACTATGTGCAATAGCATAAAATGAACCCATGTAGGTGGTTTAGAATTAACGCTAGGAATATGTCAATATTGAGAATCCTAATTTTATCCTTTGCCAGTTTGTGAAGGATAAAAGGGTAGTAAGGATACAACTATAAAAATCAATAGAATTAATTATCAAAAAGTTTTAAGGTGGAGGCAGGTATGAAAATAGAGAAACTATGATGAGAGAAATAGCAGAGTGGGTAGGCCAGTTACCTTGGACACAGCCTACCTGGGTTCGATTTCTAGTACCACATATGGTCTTTACCGAGTCAATACAGGAGAGATCTCTGAGCACAGAGCAAGGAATAAACCCCAAAGACTTCTTGGTGTGGCCAAGAAACAAAGAAAAATAGGGAAACCAGTTAAAAAGTTGTTATGCAGGGCTAGAACGATAGCACAGTGAGGAGGTTGTTTGCCTTGGGCCGACCTGGGTTTTATTTCCAGCATCCCTGAGCACCACCAGGAGTAATTCCTAAGAGCAGAGCCAGGACTAACCCCTGTGCATTGCCAGGTGTGTCCCAAAAAGCAAAAAAAAAAAGTTGTTATTCATGGTGAGGGAAAGAAGAAGCTGCCATCATGATAATGGAGGTTTCTATATAGAATTTCATATGAAGGCAATATGTGATATTTGGTCATTGATGTGGAAATTGTAAAAGAAGTAGTCTGCCTTGGTTTTAAAATATCAAATATATGTGAATTAAAAAAATGAAACAAACTGTTCCTGAAACAAATTAGGATAGGGAAACAATTTTTCAAGCAGGAAAGTTGAGCTGTTGATTGTGAAGAAAAAAGAGATGATGCAGCTAGAGATTAGGTACATTGTTCAAAGTGCTAAGTGAAACTGTCAAGAAAATATACAAAGAGAGTGTACAAGGGATTTAAAGAGAAGCTTTCTCTATATAGAAAACATTTAGCTTTTGTCTTTTAGAGGAATAAAGCTAATACAGAGAATGTTTCTCCCAAAGAAGAGATTTAAAAAAAGAAAATAGTAGAATGAGTGAATATTACACAATAAAAGAGTTGTATCAGATAGAGAAGAAAAATTAAAACATTTCAAGGATGCCTTAGGAAAACTTATCTGCAAAACTAACTTTTGCCCAAAATCAATGTGAAAAATTTTTATAATGAAACTAAGATATAACTATCAATTCTAATAATAATTTATTTAGCCATTGATGATACTGGTTTGGGGCAATCAAATGAATGATGATTTAAACTGCTAGATATAAAAAGAAATTTTCAAAAGTGTGTCTAATGGTGATGTTGGATTTATGGAGAACTTCATGGTAGATGAAAATGTCTTACTTATGGTGCACCTAACACTCAACTTCTGATTCTAGACATTGCACTTAATATATCACAGTACACTTAATATATACTTAGTATATTATAATAACACAGCTGTGAAGATTTTCTTGCATCCACGTTTATACACATTTTCCTTTAAATCCACGATGCCATACAAACCTTGTATACCTCATTGTTAAGTGAATTATAATTCTGTCAATTAGTACAGGGTTTTGAAAGTTTTATTTGCCTATCTCGTAACAAATCATAGTATTTCTTGAACCAATGCAGTTATTTTGCTTGAGCTGGAGCTGGAGCTGAGCTGAAGCGATAGGTCATTTGCCTTGCACCGGGCCAACCCGGGTTTGATTTCACTGTCCCTCTCAGAGAGCCCTGCAAGCTACCGAGAGTATCCCACCCGCGCAGCAAAGCCTGGCAAGCTACCCATGGTGTATACGATATGCCAAAAACAAAAACAGTAACAAGTTTTACTTACTCACAATGGAGATGTTACCGGCGCCCACTCGAGCAAATAGATGAACAATAGGAGGACAGTGCTACAGATTATTTTTGAAAAAATGAAAAGATATTATTAGCATTTAGGGTCTATGAGCATCTTTTTTATAATTTAAGATGACTGGAGAGAAACGTTTGGAGAAATGTTTAATTTTTATTTATATTTTTATAAGAACACACCCAGTGGTGTGGTTGGTTTGGGTGCAGTAGAGAAGTCAAAGGTCGCTCCCAGCCATGCTCAAGCCACTAATGCTGTATAATAAGACACAGACCTGTGGTGGTCAACCCCCGGTACTTGTCACTGTATTCTGCAGTAATGCAAGGCTCTGTGGTGCTGGGGGTTGAGTTCAGGCTCTTGCACCTGGGCTCTTCCATTGGAGTTATTTCTACAATCCTCCAAATTATTTACTTCACAAATAAAACATGTATTTTGCAGTACATACAAGAAAAATAAATTAAAATATTAGCACTTTTTTATTACTTTTAAATGAACTTGCAGTTTGACTTTCTATTTAAATATTTGTTTATTTGTTGCATTGAGATAATTGAACTTTAGTGTAACTTAGGTAATAACTTTCATGTAAAAAGTGTGCCCACCAGGAAAATAATATTTTAAAACATTTTAAAGAAATTTGTGTTTTTAAATACATAGGTTTAGTAACAATAAGAAGAAGAAAAGGGACTTTATTGCTTTGAGAAATTCATTTTAAATGAAGCGATAACATTAATTTGCCTCAAAGAGCAATAAATCATTAGGAGATAGGGCATTAAAAACCTTAATGTTCACTATTAGTTTTCCTCATCGATCAAAAATGCTATTGATATTTAAAGTAATTACAAAGCAGCATGAATGGATAACAAAATCTAGTTTATAGATTCTAGGACAATAAGCTTCACTTTTTAGCAAAGAAAATAGGCTCCAGTATTCTACATTGCTTTTTCCCATTTCCATTAAGGAAAATGTTTAGGAATATTTTTCTTTAGTTTTTAAAAGGAAAAGCACTCACTTTTCACTTACTTTTCTTAGTTTTTTTTTGTTTGTTTCTTTCTTTGTTTTGTTTTATTTTGGGGTCATCTCTGACTTTGTTTAGCATGTGCTCTTGCCTTATTTCTCAGTAATCACTCCGGACACTGTTTGCAAGGCAAGCATCTTATCTGTTGTACTATCTCTCTGAACACATCCTCACTTTTTGTTTCTGTTCATGTATTTTGTACCCATTAAAATGAATATGACTATCATGCAGAGTTCATGTTTGGAATTGCCAATTGCCCTCTGTTCTTTGCAAATCCAGTAAATCAAGCTCAATCACAACTAAATGGAGTATTCTCTAATTTGTTTTGTTCTTTTTGTCCATCTGTGATTATAATTTACTGTTCTTCCTTATATCTGCTTCATATATTAAATGTTACTGATTTTCAGGAAAAGGGGCAAGGTTTGTGATATTTATTATTCTAGGTTCAAGCACAACATTCTAGAAGTACTCAAGAAAATTGTACTCAGGGTATCAGTTGAAAGTGTAAAACAAAACATTCCCTTTAAACAAAATCTTACAGGGGGCTGGAGCAATAGCACAGCAGGTAGGGCATCTGCCTTGCACGCGGCCGACCTTGGGTTCGATTCCCAGCATCCCATATGGTCCCCTGAGCACCGCCAGGAGTAATTCCTTAGTGCGGAGCCAGAAGTAACCCTGTGCATCGCTGGGTGTGACCCAAAAAGCAAAAATAAAATAAAATAAAATAAAATAAAAAATAAACAAAATCTTACAGTATAAAAATGTGTGTGTTTAGAAGTTAAACAGTTTTATATTTACTACTAAAAGAAATTGAGACTTGTGTGCCATATATTTATATAATATCTTATGTCAGAAATTTAAAGCAATTGATTTATAGATAACTAAAATATTATTCTGGATATTCTCCATAATGTAAATAATTAATTTATGCAATTATAGAACATTTATTTTCTAAAGACTTTTAAATTTATTTAGTCAAGTTTATTTATGAGTGATTAAAAGCAAGCCCCCAAGCCTTGAACCCATCCTACCAGTTTGCTCTCAGTCTTCAGCTGCAGTCATTGTATCCATGCAAGTTTCTCACCTCCAGTCTGTCTGAAATATCCTCAGCACCCATAGAAATCCAGAAGATCCTGGTTGAGAAGTGCTGGTTTGAATAATCTGAAATCTGACTAAATATATTTGAAATAACAATCTAAAATGTCAGTGTGAACTGGCCTTGTCTTTGCTTATGACTGCAGTTACTTGCTTTTCTTTTCTTTATTAGGTACTTAATCAGACCAGATCCATTGGCATATCTTCCCAACCGTGAACCCAGTCGGAAAAACAGCATCTGTAATGTCAGTGGTCCAGATTCTCGAGAGGAAACTCAACTTTGATAAAAAGAAAATGAGACTGTTTTTTCCTACAATTATGTTGTTTGAGGTAATTCCAAATAGCAGGCAAGAGAAATATTACTGGCATGAATAAAATAGATGAGAATACATTCAGTTAACTCATATTTTAAAATATCTATCCTCTTAGACGTATAGATTATTTTGAGATTTAATGTATTATTTATTATAATTCTTGCTGATATTTGGAAGACTCGTGGAATTATTGTAAAAAGCTAAATTGAAACTTAAACAGTTAAATTTAATATTTATTTATTTGAGTAGACTCCTAAACCTATGAAGACATTTTTCAAGGAATTAAGGTTTTATGAAAGAGCTAAAAATCCACTATCTTGGGCGCATCAAAATGGATTTAGAAGATTGTTTCTCCTCTTAAAAATGAAATATATATTATATTCTTAAACTTGTTGTTTTATAAACTAGAGCTCATCATGTCTAGTTTTCTCTACACAAAGACTAACACACTTGTATGATTAACATTTGTGTGTAAGAATCATAGTTTGCTTTAGATTGAATATTTAAGTCATTTTAAATTTTTTGTTGATGTGTCCTAATATATTCATTTCATAACTTGAAATGTTCATAGCATGTTTTATTACACTAAAGAACCCAAAACATTATTATAAGACAAGAACAGTATGCTAAAGAGCAAATAAGTATTGTTCTCTTAAAAGACTACCAAAAATAGAAAAAATAACTGTGTCTTGGAATTGAATCCAAGAATTGAAATATTAACACATAAATTCAGTAATAATTTGTTCAAACTCTTGGGCTTGAATATTTTTCATATATCTAAATAGTATAATTCATTAGAAAAAGACTTTAAATTTAAAACAAAGTTTCATGCTTTTGCAAATACAAAACATTTTAAATACAAAACCCCTCATTTCTGACTTCAGTATTGAAATAAGCACACAAAAACTTTTAGTTAGAAGGTTTTATTTTTATTGGAGGAAAATTCTGTCACTGTCACTGTCACTGTCCTCCCGTTGTTCATCAATTTGTTCGAGCGGGCCCAGTAACTTCTCCATTGGAGACTTTGTTGTTACTGTGTTTGGCATATCTATAGGAATTATGTTTTGATATTGCATGAAAGAGCAGACCATTAAGATAAATAGTTTTGCCATTTAAATTTACCATGAGTTTTGGAAGATATGATAGTTATTAATTAAATTGATTCTTGGTGACACTACTGCTTCTGTTTGTGTTGCTGTTATTCCTCTACAGAAACAGATTATAAACTACTACAGCACAGCTTGCCTGGTAGTGACAGTATAATTAAAAGATACATCGGTAAATTTAAATACATTTTTCCTAATTATTTTATTTTCCTTTATATCTGAATTTGACATTGTTATGACACTATTCTTTCTTTTCATAAAGAAGTACATCATATAAGAATAAAAGGAATCTAAAAGAAATGCTTTTGTTGTTGTTTTGTTTGGGGGACCACACCTGGCTGTGCTCAGGACTACTGATGGCTCCACACTCAGGATCACTCTTGGAGTACCATATGGGGTTCCCGGGGTCGAACCTGTGTCAGCTGTGTGCAAGGAAAATGCCCTACCCACTGTACTGTTATTAGGGCCCTAGATCTGGAACTTTACTAATGAATTTAATCGGGAACTTTAGTGGTGAATTTATTGTAGTATATAATAAGCATATTGATTTCCAGGGATGAATACCTGAAGATTCTATAATGTTTTCATGCATAATTTCTTTACCAAAAAAATTAAATATATCAAAACAAAGTTTAATATCCCCCCAGGTAGCTCTACATAATTAAAAAGTAAAACAAAATGGAAAATTAAGGTTTATAAAAATTACATACTTTGGTTTAGAGAACATCAAAGATCTAATTGTTGTTATTGTTGTTTTTAGTATTTTGCATTGATCTCTTTTAGAATCATGAGAACACTAAGAATTACTTTAAAAGCATATCCTTTATTTCATTATTCAGATAAGGAAATTTAATTGATAAAAATTTTCATAAATTTTAAATATACCTTAAAATCATATGCATTTTTACATCTATTTGTTGAAAAAAACACAAAAACTGTATTTGACAAACATTTACATATAAAATGATCAAACTTAAGGTAAATTGAGATAATATATGTAACAGAGAACAATACTTGTTTAATATTTGCACTTCAATATTCAAGTGTAAACTTTCTTTGAATTGCCATTTCTTTAATTCATTGCCACTATTTTTAGGAATAAATGTGAGATTTTATGAATCTTCTATTTCCCCAAAATGCTCAAGTTTGCTATTTTTGCATTATGACAGTTATTAAGAATAGGATTTTAAGCTAGGAGATGACTATATTTCCTATAAAATTGAAATTGTGTTTAATGAATTTTACAACATTTATTTTTTATTATGAACACTATTCCAAATTTAATATTTGACAAAATTCATATTAGCTTGCTATAATAAATGTAGTTTATTAGTCTGTTATTTAAAAAATAAAATATGCTTTTAAAAGCCTTTTAAAGACTGTTGCCTTTTAAAAATAAATGCTCATATGAAAGTAAAACAAACATTCAATTAATAGTCCTTGTGTGACCCTATGGGAATTGGTTTTGTTTATCATCAATGTACCATTTTGCTACCAGTTATATTCAACTGATTTGAAACAAATAATAAAATTATTTCTGATGATGAAAAACTGCTGTGTGCCTTATCTAAAGCTTTTAAATATTGTATACTTTGAAAGCATACAAGTTGTCGGTTATTTTGTTCAAAACAAAATAAATGCTAAAGTTGTATGATTAGAAAAGACAGTCATAAAAGAAATGTCACTGAATAGTGTCTTAGTGTAATAGATTCTGAATAAGTTACATGACAAGAATGGAGAGAGAAGGAAAGAAGAGAAAGTGACAGGGAGGGCATAGATGGAGAAATATAATGAACAAAGGGATAGAAATGGAAAATAACCACTAAGGGTGATAGAAGAGGGGAGAAATGCTGTGTGTGTGTGTGTGTGTGTGTGTGTGTGTGTGTATGGCTAGATATAGATATGCTTTATACAAAACAGAATAATGTCAAAGCACAATAATTTAGAAGCCAGATCATTTAAAGAAAATAAATTTAAAGGCAAAATAGACTTTTGGTACCAGGAAAATGGCATACACACATTTCTTCTATTACTCATGATAAGTACATCTAAAAGCTCAACATATATATATATATATATATATATATATATATATATATATATGAAGCAATAAACAGACTAAATTCTTAAGAAACAAGGAAGAAGCACTAGGATCGTATCACATGGTAGTGAGTTTACCAGATTTCCTTTCTTCCTATGCATAAGTCCAGAAGAAAAAAAAAGGTGTTACAGGCTACAGGCTACTCTGCTCTTATTTTTTTTTCCGCAAAAGACTAAAATCTGCACCATCATTCTGTGGAGAACCAGCAACAAACAACAAACTGGTGATGCTCCTGCTTTGTGGGTGATTCTCCAGGGAATGACTCTAAGTGTATTTATAGCAGTCAACATGCCCAGTGACAAGCAATTTCTTCAGTATCCCCATCAGATAATTTTTAGTCTTCTGCTCAATGAGGCACATCCAACATCATGGATTTCCTCAGAATTTTGGCAAGTTCTATGTGCACATCATCAGCGTCGTATTTGTGCGAAGCTGGGATCTTCAATTTTTTCATCTTCCACAGAATTTTGACTTCAATACTAGGATACTCCATCACATCAGTCCTAAAGACAATGTGTCTCTTTATAGCTGCCCGCACAGACATTTTCAAGTTCTCTATTATGAACCAATGTCTGCTACTCGGAAGCTCTGACACAGGTTAGAGTTCCTTGTATTAAACTTTCTGAAATCACTGCATGGTTCCTAATTTCAAAACAATTGTGTGATGTTTTCCACCTGATTAAATCTGAGATAATGTGATTTCAAATACCAAAGGCTGCATTCGAAGTGGTAGTGTTGGAGAAAATACCACATATGGCGTTTGCTGAAATTTTAGGACTGATACTGCTCAGCCTGTGGGGCGAAGCATTGGACCACATGTACTTTATCTTGTTCACCTCTGTTCCATTCAGAGGAAAGCTCCAATCTTTTATTTGGAAGTTCAGAGTAGCTTGAAGTGTGGTCGATCAATTTAAGTGCAAGTCGTTCCATCACAGCCAAGATGGTTTGATTCCTTAGTCTTGTATGAAAGATTTGCATGCACACCTCCAGATATTTATGCCACAGGTAGTTTGTGATGCACTGACCTTCTAGGTCCCAGCTAAACAACCATCCCTCTGAGTCCCCATAGGTCCTTCACTGTCTCTCGCTGCTCTGTCATTAGTGCTCTGCCACTGAACACTGAGGCTGACCTCTCCATAGTTGTTGTTCAGCATCTTTGGACCTTTGGTTTTCATTGATTCTTTTGGCCATGTGAATATGGGTGAAAACCACTGCTGGCCTAGTCTGCTTGGGCAGCGGTAAGGAGGCAAAGACAGTGCCTTCTTCCAGGCACAAACTCGGCAACAAAGAGAATAAAGAATTACCTGGCCAGAAGTCCACTTTTATTATGTTATTTGCTATTCCTTTATCTATTTTGACTGACTACTTTTGAAGATTAAAAATAACCAATGAGATTAACTTACTTTCTTTCCCTTCCTGTCTGCAGTTACCAGTTCTAATAAAGCAATTATTTGGTTAAGAAAGCCTTTTGAATTAATGTAGTATTATTCAATTGATTAATAATTTATTTACATCCAAAATGTGCGGTGGTCTGGGACAAGGGGGAGGTGTGCTTCAGTGGTAAAGTGTGTACTTTGTATGTAGGAGAACCAGGTTCAATCCCCAGTACCACATGGGATCCCAGGCACCACCAGGAATAACCCCTAACTACTGGGCCGGAAAGCTGCTGAACGTTGCCGGGTGTGGCCTCAAAACCAAATAAAATAAGTTTTAGAAGAAACACCACCTTAGAATTGTTACTAAGTATTGTCGTGGTTCTAAAAAATACACTTTGATCAATTAAAGCATGCCAAGATCTTCCGCAACCAGTGGCGCTCTTCTGAAAGTGCTCTATGCACTAGGCCCTTGACTCTGGACTTCTGATAGGAGAGGGAGCTCTGGCAATCTCTGAACTGGCTTTGTAATCATTCTTCACTCTCTGAAAGAATAATGGTGGGCCAGAGAAATAGGAGCGCGGGTAGGATACTTGCCCTGCTTGCAGCAGACTGGAGTTAGATCCCTTGGCACCCCTTATGTTCCATGAGCCCTACGAGCAGTTGATCCCTGAGTAGAGAGCCAGGAAAAGAAAACTCTGAACACTGCTGAGTGTGAACCCAAAATCAAAATGAACCAAAAAATGCTGGTTGTATCTTTTGCTAGGTGACCCATACTAAACTCCTAGAGTCTGACTCTTGCCTCTGAGAGTCTGTACTATGTCTAGACTGATAATATAGAAATTTTTTAATTCTGCTTCCCTTTAGCTTAACAATTCCAACTTTAATTTTTTTCTTTCATCTATTTTACTATAAGGGCTAGAGCGATAGCACAGCGGTAGGGCGTTTGCCTTGCAAGCGGCAAAGATGGCCGACCCGAGTTCAATTTCTCCACCCCTCTTGGAGAGCCTGGCAAGCTAACGAGAGTATCTCGCCTGCACGGCAAAGCCTGGCAAGCTACCCGTGGCATATTCAATATGCCAAACACAGTAACAATAAGTCTCACCATGGAAACATTACTGGGCCCACTCGAGCAAATCGATGAACAACGGGAGGACAGTGACAGTGACAGTGATTTTACTATAAGTAATCAAAATATTCCCGGTGTACCTTCAAAACTTTTCCTTAGAGAGCTTCTCAGCTATAAAAAACCAATTTTTGTCCCTTGCAAGTTCTGTCTTTATAAAGCACTAGAATGTTTTTGCCACCTCTAACAAGGATTGATTGCTTCTCCAGTTTCAATAACATGTTCCTAATTTCACTCTGGGATGTCGTTAGAAGCCTATCTTCTATTTGTGGGCACTTAGGTATTCTTTAAGAAGATTGGATTCTATTTCTTTTTTTTTTCTTTATCTTTCTCCAGAGCTGACACAAAAATTACTTTTTTATGGTCCATTCAAATAATGTGGGGTTTTATGGAATATGTGAAAACTTTTTCAACTTCTATGCATTATCCAGTTCCAAATTACTTCCATATCTGTGCATATTTGTGATAGCAGTAATCCCACTTCTCAATACCAGTGTCTGCCTTACTCTATTCATAATGCTAAAACAAACATGTTGAGTAACTTAAACAACACTCCCTTATTTTTCACAATTCTTGAAACTGGGAATGCCAAGATCAAGACACCACCAGATTTGTTTTATGGGGAGATATTACTTTCTGGATTACAAATGGCTGTCTTGAATATTCACAAGGCAAGTTATGGAGAG